AAATGTGTATAGTCAGCTAGTCTTGTAATTTTGGAAATGATAACAATTTGTGGTTACTAGCTGTAAATCTCAGGTGTTAATGTGGCCTCCCATAAAGAGCAGAATATTGGTTTTAGGAAATATTTATCTACACAAAATGCATGGTATTTCATTCTTGCCAGGGAAAAGTTGCTCCTAATTATAATTTCAGTTGAGAGAAAATTGGGGTGAAATTCAGTTTCAAGGAAAAAACTACTTTGATGGTAACTGATCTCAAAATGCAGTTTGACTGGACACATCATTGGCGTACCTATACTGTAACTAAAATATATTGAAAAATTTCTTCTGGTGGATCAAGACTGATCGATTTAAAGACCCTGTAATTAAGTTTGACTCCAAAGAAAGGAAAAAGAGAGGTGGCATTTTGAGATTGTAATTTAGACAAGGCGTTGAAATCATATGGGTTATAAATGTTAAGCCTTTATTATCAATGCCCTAAAGCAATGCCATTTTTTTTCAAATAGAAAAACATAAAAATAGCCTTTGTTAGAATGCAGCTCTATACTATCCTATTCATTGGACTGTTTACATTAAAACTGTAACTGTTATTGCCATTTTTTTTTTTGACAGGCAGAGTTAGACAGTGAGAGAGAGAGAGAGAGAGAGGTCTTCCTTCCATTGGTTCACCCCCCAAATGGCTGCTACGGAGCCAGGAGCCAGGTGCTTCCTCCTGGTCTCCCATGTGGGTGCAGGATCCAAGCACTTGGGTCATCTTCCTCTGCCTTACTGGGCCACAGCAGAGAGCTGGACTGGAAAAGGAGCAATTGGGACAGAATCCGACGCCCCAACCAGGACTAGAACCCGGGGTGCCGGCACCGCAGGTGGAGGATTAGCCTAGTGAGCCGAGGTGCTGGCCCATGTTTTGTAATATATTTTCACTTAGAATTACCCATTGTTTCTTTTTTTTTTTTTTTTAAACAGGCAAAGTGGACAGTGAGAGAGAGAGACAGAGAGAAAGGTCTTCCTTTGCCGTTGGTTCACCCTCCAATGGCCGCCGCGGCCGGCGCGCTGCAGCTGGCGCACCGTGCTGATCCGAAGCCAGGAGCCACGTGCTTCTCCTGGTCTCCCATGGGGTGCAGGGCCCAAGCACTTGGGCCATCCTCCACTGCACTCCCTGGCCACAGCAGAGAGCTGGCCTGGAAGAGGGGCAACCGGGACAGAATCCGGTGCCCTGACCGGGACTAGAACCTGGTGTGCTGGCGCCGCAAAGCAGAGGATTAGCCTGTTGAGCCACGAAACCGGCCAAGAATTACCCATTGTTTCTGAATATAAATTAGGAAGTAAACTTTTTGGCTACCACCAAAAAACTCACCTCTCAAGTGTTACAGTATATTGAGGATATAACCTCTGCACGAGAAAGAAATCCACATTATAAAATGTGTTAGGCCTTAGTTACTTTAACAAAAACTGATGTTGTAATTTGCAAAGCTGGTTTATCTTATGAATTTAACTTATGACAAGGTATTGAGATGAGTAACTTGTTGAGAGGGAAGTGATGAACTGATCTGAGATGAATGAAATCTTGACATAGAACCTGATTTGCAACTGCAGAATGAAGAACCAGTAATGAGTGATTGTGGGGTTCAATGAAAAAATATAAATGAAAATCAGAAGTCGCAGAAAGAAGAGATAGAAATTTCTATAATGGAAAAACTGCAGCAAATTACCTGTAGAAGAATCTGAAAGATACGTTGGGAAGGGGAAATAGGAAAAACATAAACAAAGAGAAAAATGAAACACACATCCAGAGGATGATCCAGTGAGGAGCTGAGGGGAGATGAGGGTTTTGATGGAGGAAAATGGACTGAGCTGCCTGTTTGGCTCTTACTTAATGACCGTCGATAGAGTGCCAATTTAGTGAACACTGATGGCTGATGGGATTTTTGCAGCAGACAGAGCCGACCTCATGTTTTCTTCTTAGAGGATCCTATAGTCTAGTGAGTAAGAGACAAGTAAGTGGTGATGAGAGGCATGGTAGAGATGTATAAAGACTGCAGTGGAAGTAGAGAGAGAGGAGAGCTAATTCGGTCAGGCCTTGGTGGGGGTGAAAGCCAGGTGAATGCTGCCGGTCCATCAGGAAGTGATTAAGGGGAGTAGAAGGTTAAAGTTATTTCAGGCAAATTGGAAAAGTATGGGCAGAGCCAAGAGGTGACCATGCACAGAATCTGCAGGAGACAGTAAATATTTCAGCATGGTGACAGCATGAACTACATTCATATTTCAGAAATCAGTAGGGGAAGTCTAGGGAAGATGTATTCAATGATAGTTTTTATCCTAAAGGCAATAGAAAGACTTGTGGTGACTGAAGAACATGATGTGTTCATGGGATACTTTAGAGAAATTGCTTTTGTGGATGAGTGGCTAATGGACTGGCAAAAGAGGGAATGGAGACTAAAGGAAGAAAAAACAAATAGGGAATGTGGGTAAGGAGAGAGAAGAATCTAATGCAGGGCCAAGGCAGGGATAGTAGAGAAGGAAAATAAATTGTTAAATAGAACTGACAAAGCGTTGAAATGAAATAGGGGAAAGTCAGAACACTAAAATGACTTTCAGATATTTCGGAAAACTTGGACATTTTTGCAGTGAACTGAGTGATTGTGTCTCTCATGTCAAAAGCCTAACCCCCACTACGATGCTTCAGGGGGTGAGATCTTCAGCAGATAAACAGGTCGGGAGGGCGGAGTCCTGATAAATGGAATCAGTGCTTTTACAAGAAACCCCAGAGCGCTGTCCCTCCCTCTTTCTGTCATTTGACGACATAATGACTAGAATGAATGACAGCCTAAAATCAGATACAGGCTCCAGAATTATGAGACATAGATTTATGTTGCTTATAAATATCCAGTCTCTGTGGCATTTCGTTGTAACAGCCCTAGGTAACTGAGAACATAGATGGTATAGGTCACCATGGTAGAGAAGTAAGTTTTGTGAGTTGTAGAGGGCTCATGGTATATTGTTCTGGCCAAGTTGTATCTGTAATATTATCCATATAGTGTTTAGTAGGTAGTGGTGTTGTGGGCCAGCACCTTGGGTAAGATGCTGAGTGGATGTGTAGACTAAGAATTATCACAGGTGGCCGTTGCTGCAGCTCACTAGGCTAATCCTCCGCCAGGTTCTAGTCCTGGTCGGGGCGCCGGATTCTGTCCCGGTTATACCTCTTCCAGGCCAGCTCTCTGCTGTGGCCAGGGAGTGCAGTGGAGGACGGCCCAAGTGCTTGGGCCCTGCACCTGCATGGGAGACCAGGAGAAGCACCTGGCTCCTGCCATCGGATCAGCGTGGTGTGCTGGTCGCAGCGCGCTGGCTGCAGCAGCCATTGGAGGGTGAACCCATGGCAAAGGAAGACCTTTCTCTGTCTCTCTCTCTCACTGTCCACTCTGCCTGTCCAAAAAAAAAAAAAAAAAAAGAATTATCACAGGTGTATATCAGACCAACAAGTATGCTTGCACAAAAGAGAAGAGGGAATAACTACAATTCAGAAAGAGGTAAAGAAAAGAACCCATGGATTTCAAGCAGTGACTGGAGAGCTAAGAGGCAAGTCAGGGAAAACATTATTAGAAACCCACAGACTAGAGAGTGTGCAGGTGGAGGCGGTCAACTTTCTTTTGCTTTTTTAAAGATTTATTTATTTATTTGAAATGGAGAGTCACAGCCAGAGAGAGAGGTCTTCCATTCCCTGGTTCATTCCCCAAATGGCTACAGATGGCCGGAGCTAGGCTGATCCAAAGCCAGGAGCCAGGAGCTTCTTCCACATCTCCCATGTGAGTGCAGGGACCCAAGCACTTGGGCCATCTTCGGTGCTTTCCCAGGCCACAGCAGGGAGCTGGATTGGAAGAGGAGCAGCCTGGACAGGAACCAATGCCCATATGGGATGCCAGTGTTGCAGGCAGAGGTTTAACCTACTAAGCCACAGCACTGGCTCTGGGGTTAACTTTCCAAATGCTGAAAGCAGGACTGGAAGGCATTCCCTGGGCTTCCAAGGGAATTTTCAATGAAGAGGTGGAGTCAAGGTCAAGGTTTGTGTGTTTTATGAATGAATTGAATTGAGGTGAGAAAATAGGACCGGTAGTGTAGATACTTTCTAAGCTGTTAGGTGTGAAGGAAACAAACTAGAGGAAGTCTTGGCATTGAAGGAAGCTTTCTTTCATAAAACAACATAGACTTAAACGTGTTTATAGATTGATGAGGGAGAAGAGCAATTTAGAGAAAAGGATAATAAAGGAGAAAGGGCAACATGGGTTCCATAGAGCAGTTTCAGAGAGTGACCATGGGCCAGGGGGAGGGGACACTTCTTTTCTGAGGTGGGCAAGAATACATTAGAATACAGTTCTGTCTTCGGGTGTCTGATAAAGTGCAGTTTCAAGTTGTAACCAAAGAGACTGGGCAGAAAAGGGCCATTTCTTAATATGAGGAAATGAAAAAGACAGGAGCATAATCTGGTGATAGAAATAGCACTAATTGCAAAGGTTTCCTCCAGGATTGGAACCTAGAGACTGGTCTGGACGTTCCAATGCAAGTGACAAAGGGTCTTGTGTAATAATTGTGTTTGGTGTCGCTGCCTACTTAGCACCCCCTGTGTGTCAGCCACTCCACTAAAAGCTTTACCAAGCTGGTATTTTTTTTAATCCCTTTAATGATTCTACTTCCTAGTATTCTGCTTACTATTTACATTTTTCTGTAGCAACAACTGAAACTCAGAAAGGCGAAATGGCTTGCTCGAATTCATTCATCCACTGAGTTTCATATCAGCATTCCAGACAGCTTCTGTGTCTGCAAACTCTGCACCCTTGCACCATACTCTGTTTTATCTGGAAAGAACTACCAAGTCCTTTAAACTCTGGACAAGCTAATTTGTTCATCTGATAGGATCTGTTTTAACTTCAGGTTCATACAACTGTAATTTCTAAGGTTTTGTCTTTCTTTTGTAAACAGTACCTCTGACTTTGGTTGGGAATTTTAAACAGGTGAAGGGAAGAAGACACAGCAGAGGAAAAAAAGAAGACCATGTGAGAGACAGCCATAAACCCGAGGTAACAAACTGTAATAGAGCTGCCTCTTCTTTTATCAAACCCAGTGGAAGTCCATGGAGTGAATGCTGAAGTCAATGAACTTTCTGTTTGGAAACTGCTTTTGCAGTTTGCCCTGTTTTATTGATGTGTCTCCTGACTTGGAAATTTCACAATTCTGGGTTCTTTTCCTAGCAACATTCTCCTTATAATCTCCAAATTATTTCATCCACTTTAATGTTTAGCTGTGATTATCCAGTCCTATTTGGTTTTCCTCCAATTAGCAGTTCAGGAGACCTATCACAGTGATGTGTGCAAAAAATACACCATAGATTAACGATGAAAATAGAAGAACTCTCACACCTTCTAATACATAGCAGTGCTCCTGCATGGTAGACCAATGGCAGCTTTACAGTCAAGTTTAATACTTAAACTAGACCATCAAATTACCTTAGAATTAGAGCTCAGATTTAGTTAACATGTTCTATTTTTGGAGGAAGAGATTAATAAACTGAGTGGCTGCCAATAAACTTTTGTAAAAATATATTTATTTCTGATCTTAATTCTTATATTTCTGACCTTAATTCTGCTTGAGAAATTTCACCATACAACAAACCTCAACCCCAAATTATCTTTAGCGGTAAAACACAATGGGTGGTTGGATCAATATCAGCATGGCTACAGAGCCTGCAATTTTTCTCCTTTTCCATGACACAGCTGCAAATAAGGTCAGGGCACAGCGTCTCACCTTCCCAACTAGCAGGTCCATAGGCAATAGGATTATTTTAACCGTGATCTTAAGAACCAACAATCAAAATGACAAATCCTCACATTATTTGACCGTGTTTACAACGAAGTCAGACATTCCTTGTTAACACGGGGAGGCCACCCCGCGTTCTAGGCGCTGTTTGTGAATCTGTCCACCTGATTAGTTTGTGTTCTCTGTAATAACCCTGATAGCACTGAACATATGTTGTGGGCAAAAGCTGTCAAGCAAAAAAGCCTGAGTTATTGCCATTCATCTCTGTCGCCTTTCATACACACACTTCTCCGGTTACTGGATAAGGCGGTGAAAGATTTGGATTACGATACTCTTCGTATTTTCACATGTAATAAAAATAGTGTGATGAATTTGAAATGACTAGAAGGAAGTCAGAAAAAACGGCCACTCATTTTGCTCCATTTAAATTCATAGCCTAGAACACTATGGCTAATAATTAGCTGTAGCTAATGAAACAAAGCACATGTAATTGACAAGAGTGCACCAGAGAGGCACACTCCATCATTTTCAGATACAGTACATTGCATATGACAGAATTTTTAGAAAAAAGAGAAAGCTTGAACCAGGCAGAATCTCCAAAGAAAAGGAGAAAATGGAAAAAAATAACAAAAACCTGCTTCCTTTTTAGACACACATAGAAGCGTTCTGTAGGGTATGTGAGTTTTAAATGTGCCTGACATTTTTATTAATGTGCTGCAGTCAGTGTTTACCTAAGTGAGCTCGTTCTGCAGAAGCTTTTGTTGGGAGTTCTCCGTGAACACATGTTTTATCTTTGAATTTTACAATCTGACAAATACAAATGTTCAGCAGAGCGTGTGGTGCGCTCAGTTACTCACGCACAACAGCGAGTCACCTGGGGCTGCTGGGTTCTCCTCCAGCTGGTTTGCAGTCAATTGATTACAGTCATTTCCTAAGCATTATGAACTGCACTTTAAGCATGTGCTCTTACGTGTCTTCATTTGACTTTGGGAAAATTCCACTAGATTAGAGGAACAGCGTAGAGTCTCATTATAAGCATGAGACGGGCCTCATTAAAGGGCTGGGGTGTTGTTATTCAAGTCATGTCCACACTTCATTAGAAGCTGTATTCTGAATAACTTACTCGTATCAACGGTGACGTCGTATCATCTGAAACCAAATGTCAGTGCTGAGCACAGAATCGCAGGGATACTTGTCCCCCTCTGTAGGTCACCTGCAGAAACAAAATCATCTACAGAAATGATTTCAGATAATGTAATAATCACCCTCCTAAAACATGATTCTCTATTAACTACACAGGTCTCCTTAAACGTGCATTTTACAATGCAAAGTCCGTTTTGAATATGGAATACTATGGAAATATTGGGATACTAAAATATGCCTCTTAGTATTTCAGAAAGTATGAAAATGATAGCAGAGATATTTTTCCCTTTAACCTGCCTTGCAACAGGGGAAAAAGACAAACCCCCAAAAAGGATAACCCAAAACAAAGAAACCCCGGCACGGCGTTCAGTATGTACAAAAGAACACAGACTTAAGCTGGGAACAAGCCTGCAGAACCTTTTGATTTCACAAGCTGACGGACTAGAAGAGACAGAATGTTGAACAAGGCAATTGCAGCCTCCTCGGGTCAGCAGGCACCTGTTTCACAGAGCTGCGCACCAATGTCTGCAACGAATCTTTGTTCCCGTCCTTCTCTTTCATCTGCTGTCTTGCAGCAAGGAGTGTCTGAAAGGACGCTGGCTGAAACAGATGGAGTGCTCTTCCTGCCAGCGTCCCTGACCTGAGTCTCGTAGCGAGGCGTCCTGCTAAAGATGCTATTTCTGTTCAGTGGTGATTTTAATTGCTTATCTTGTTCCAGTGCTGGGTGGACTTAATCAGTGTGTCTTTTAAAAATAGCTGCACAAATGGATTATTTACTGTAGTCTTTTAATGATTACACTTAATGAATACCATCACATGCCAAGAAACTCGCATAGGTCAGCACATCTAAGAAATCATTCTGACATTATTACATTTATAAACATAAAATAAAGCGCTGTACAATTAGATTTAGCTCCTCCATGTGAGAAATAATACATTTACATCCCATGTTGTGTTAAGTGATTTTCAAGTATTTTTAAAATTATAAGCTCTGTAGACTGATGTATATTCTTCTTTATCTGAGCTCAGTTCTGTCTGTCTTCTGAGTATATTTTCACCTCAAAAATGAACATGTGATAATGATCATATGAGACCACTCGATCTCCGTTGACCCCTGGCTTTAAGGCTTGAGCAACTTGCATTCAAGATTTTTTATGACACGGACAACAGGTGAACAATTTCATCATCTTTAAGAGTAAGATACACTCACATAAGCTATTCTCCAAGAGAAATTTAAGGACTTTTGCTAGGTCCATTTATTCTTTTGGGTTATTAAGAAATCAATTGCGAAGTAGCCACAGTAGTGTAATAAAATTCCCTTTTACGGCCTTCGGTAAATGTCAACATTTATATTAGTCTCCACTATGATGCTATTTCTGTTGGCCAGAAATTGATTATCATAGTGCTCAATTCTACTCTTGAACCCACAAACTCAATAAGCAGTTAGGATAAACACTGGTTGTAGGAATATATAATAAATAGAATGGTTTTTCTGTCTTTCTGTAATGCTAAAATATTTAAAATCTGGCCTGACTCTAGTATTCTACCATCCTCTACATACTCTACAGATACAGAGATTAACATAAAATATTAGAATTAAGAAACATTACCTTTGGATAACCAGGATTAAGATTGTATGTGGGAAATTACAGCTATCGGTATATGTAGAATAGAGATTGGATAGACCATAGTCACTTTGGTTTATTGTTACTGATAATTCCTTAAGTTGCTTTGTTGTTCTTTCTAGAAATCTACACAGCCATGTCCCTGGCACCAGGACATAAACCTTCCCATAATTCTTAGCTGCCCACCCTTCACTACTCAATTTCCCCCGCATTCGTAATAGTGTTAACTTCTCTTTCTGAATTTTAGTTCTCATTTCCATTTTTAAATCTATTGCTCACTCGGGCTTATCTTCCATGTTGAATTTATAAATTCACGCTCATTGAGTTGCTGTTCTGTGTTGAATTTACAGATCAGGCTCATTTTCTAACTCATTGTTCCATCACTGGCAGTATGTGTTTGAAGTTCTCTGGCGAGTGTGGCCACCAGTTGGCTTCACTTCTGAGCTCTGTGAGGACGATGCCACAGAACTCCACTGGCCCCTTGTCTTCTGTGTACTCATTCTCAAGCCTTCTAGATCCCTGCTTCTTGTTGTCTGTCAGTCTCAGCGCTTTATCTTTTTTCCCCCAGCTATTACAGCTGCAAAGCTCCCAGAAGTCTTTGCATTTCTGTGTTGCTTTTCAGTTTTCTTGTGGAACAAGATGTGGAAAAACTCGAGCATCAGACTCACCAATGCGTAGAAAAGAAGAATAGAAGGGTTATAAAGGTCCTTCTCAGACAAAAGATATGAGTTAGATGCATCCGTTTTCAGAATGTTTAAAATAGTTTCAACCGTGTGTCCCTCATTTGCTATGTTGTTTTTTTATTGAATGGAAGTATGATGATCATAGGGAAAACGTAACTAAAATAAAGCCTTTGCCTACTATTCACCAGTATCAGAAATAATGTTCCTGAGGAACTGGCTTTGGCAATTCCTCAGAAAGTTGTCTTCTTAGAGCTGTTTTCCCTGCGTTTTAGTGTACTGCATTGCCACATAGGTCAAAATGCGTAATACCTCCGTCCCATGCTGTTTGTGCAAAACAGAGCCAGAGTCTTTGTTTCTCCAAAGTATGGACTTGATTGTTGTTTAATTGTGGAGGATGATACACGTGATAGAAATGTCTTTTGAGAAGAAGTAAAATAAAAGATTAGTGATGTACCTATAGTTACCCCTCCTTCTCTTGAGACAGATATTGGTAGGAAAACCTCCCTTATTTCTTCATATTTACCATTATCTGTCTTAATTGCATATATATATGTAAATATATATGCCTCTTTTTCTTGAATTTTCTACTATATAATACATAAATTACCTCTCCTTTGGAAAAATGAGAAATTTAACTCACATAAACTCGTATATTTTGCCCATTCCCCAGCTTCCAACATGTTTATATAATTTCTCCTTCCTTCTAGTGGTTTGCTTCACATTATCGTCCTGCTAATGCTTGACTTGCTGGTGTCATCAGTGGACTTGCATGCTATAAATATGAGCAGTGAAACACACATCCGATTCTGAACCTTTCCTCTGTCTTCCCTGTGCATCTTTTCCAGTTTTGTTGTCACTTTTTAAAATTGTTAAGCCACCAAAGCCTGTTTTACTTGTGAGTGACATGAAAATTTCAGTCCGTTTAGAGATGACCTTTTAAGATGTTTAAAGCATCTGTATTTTAACATGCTGTGTAATTAATTATTTTCATTGTACTTCAAAGTATGCAAAAGGTAGACTAAATTCTATGCCAATTACACTTCCTAAAGGGTGTTCTACCATGCGTACCTACCCATTGGATATTCTGGTTAATTCTAGTTTTCTTTATGTTGTGTTACTTCCCAGTTTGCATCATAGCATGTGTTCTGTGTTATCCTCTTCTTGTGGATTGACTTATTGCCATTTTCAGGAATATCTCCCTATGGAATGCACGTGATAGCAAATAAGAAAAAAATTATTAATTATAACTGAAGCACATAAGGATACATTAACTCCTGTATTAAGCATTTAGGCCTAGAATGGATATCCAGTGCCTGGAGTAACAAGGCACCCTCTAACTCCTATTGTGCCATTCCTATCGTGTAGTTTTTGTCCTTTAGTTCATAGGCATTATGTCTGGTTTCCAGGAAGAAGGACAAAGAGAGACTTCCATTTGAGACTGGCCAGAACTGTCATGTATAATGAATTCTAGCTGCAAGGGAAGCTAGACAAACTAAGTTTTCATAGCTTTTTTAATACAATCAAAATGTGTACGATATGTTCCATGTCCTCCTCCAGAGTAAATGAATGACAGAACTGACCAAGTTTTCACGTCTGTGAAGATTCGTAAGTTTTTTCCTTTGTCTCAGAATCACGTTTTTCTGGATTCCAAATTATTCTCCTTAGCACTTAGACAATATTGTTTAATTTTATTCCACAATCGTATGAAGAAAAGTCTGATTCTAATGTAATCCTCATTTCTTTGTGGCAAGCCTCTTTTGGTTGTCTATTTTTCTCATCTAAAATTAATAGTTTTTAACCATCCTGGTGTTTGAAGTTTTGCCATATTGTGTGTGGTTTCAGACTTTTCTTATTAATGCAGTTTGACATTAATTTGCCTTTTTCATTTGAATGATCTGATTAGTAAAATATTTATTGAGATTTGATTTCTTTTTTTTTTTTTCTATACTTCAGATTCGGCTGTTCAGTCATTTTGAGTGAATTCACTGTGTTTGGAAGCAATTACCAAAATCTCATTTTAGAATATTTTGTCATCCCTTAGACCTATTAGGAGTCACTGCCATCCACACCCTTGCCCGGACCTCTGTCCTAAGCAACCGATAATCTACTTTCTGTATCTATGGATTTACATTCTTTGCATATTCTATCTAATGAGATCATACCATATATAGTCTTTTATGACTGCCTTTTGCACTTATGTTTTGGAAGTCCGTGTTGCAGCATATGTCAGTCCTTCATTTACTTTTAATGGCTGCATATTATTCCCTTGCATAACACAATTTGTTTATTCACCCATTGTTATACATTTGGGGAGTTTCTACTGTGGTTATTGCAAAAGATGCTGCTGTGGACACTTGTGTGAAAGCGTGTGGAGTCCTGATTTCACTTCTTTGTGCTATAATCTAGCAGTGCAGTTCCTGGATCCTGTGGTAATGCTTAGCTTTCTGAGAATGTGCCGTACTCTTTTCCATAATGAACCTACCATTTTGCATTCTTCCTATCAACGTATGCCATGTTGCAGAATGTCCAATCCTGGACCATACTTATTGCTTTCCAGTTTTTGACCATGGCCAACCTAGTAGATGTGAAGTGATATCTCATCATGATTTTGTTTTTCATGTACTTGTTGACGATGTGCGTTCTGAAGCAATGTTTGCTCATGTGTTTTGCTTCACCCATTTTTAAATTTGACTGGTTAATCTGGTTAGTTTTTTGGTGTGGTTGAGCTGGTCCTATAGTTTTAACTCTTTTATTTAGTTTTAACTCTTATATTTATATTGAATTAATTTTTTGTGGATTTTGTGAGGTAGGAGTAGAAAGTGGTTTTTTTTTTTTTTTTCTGTAGACGTGTAGCTCCACATGTTGAAAAGACTTTTCTGCCTTTGAGTTGTCTGGTTGAAAATCATTAATGACAGATTGTGGTACACAAAACTTTGAAATGTTCCCGCAACTCTTCATAATACACATTTTCCATGAACTTTTTGAGGTCCCCGTGTAGGTCTTTCCAGATGGTAGACTGACTATGCTGCCTTCCTATGTGCAGCAGTGCAGTGATTTTTGGAAACAAAAAGCTTGCTGTTTTTAAAATATTATTCCATTTAAAAATTTTTTAATTTATTTGTAACAGATTCAATATAGTTCACAGATATAATTCTAAGAATATAATGATGTTCTCTGCCCTTTTTTCCCCTCTTAGTATCTTGTTTTTCCTACTGAATTTTAGGATTTGGCGGCCCATACTCAGAAACTTTCTTCTATTTTAATCTGTTACTTGTTTCACTCTGTTTACTTTGTTTTACCTTTCTGGAATCCACATTGAGTAATTTCTGTGTTCTCAACCAGTGAAGTCTAGAGGACAGCAGGCGTTTAATCTGTTTCTGCTCTCTGCCCCTCGCCTGTTTTCTGTGTTCCAGCGGAACATATTTTCTTGCTGTTTCAAGTTCATTCCTAACCCAACACTATTTTTATTACACTAGTAAATATAGCACTATTTAAAAATATTGCCGTGAAATTTTTAGTTTTCAAAATTTATGATGGAATCCCCTGCATTTAACATAGATTTCATATCCCCCATCGATTGTCTTTGTTTAACTTCGTGCCTTTCTTTGATGGTGATGTGTTCGACTTTTCTTCCCAAGTCTGCTGGCTTTGCTTTGGAGAACAGAGGAACGCCTGTCTTCAGAACGTCTGTTCTGTCCTCTCTGGATGCAGCTTCCATGGACATGACCCAGCCTGCGTCTGTTTTCATGGGGAGTATGTGGCTGTGTGCGTCGTTGTGAGATTCTTGGTTGTTGTCTTCCGGTGCATCCCGGTGGTTGTGACACAAGTTGGGGAACGCTCAGAGTATCAGGATTTTCTCACT